TCTATGATCTACGAAGATTGAGTGATCAAATCCACTCAAGCCAAGAATAAAAGTTGATCTCCTCGTCGAGGGCTACACGATCACACCAAAAACTACGGGTTTCAGTGAAGTTCAAAAAAATTGAGTTTGGAGAAATCAAGGATTTTGGGTGAAATTGGGACTCTTGAAGACTTCTATCAAGTGGATTTACGCTTCAAGAGGCAGGGTTCTTTCCTANGGTGAAATTGGGACTCTTGAAGACTTCTATCAAGTGGATTTACGCTTCAAGAGGCAGTGTTTTTTCCTTCTTAGGTTTATTTACAACCTAGGGTGGTAATATGAAATGGGTATGTTGATAAAAACTTATATCATTTACCTATGTTATGGAAATTGATGAAATGAGTATGAGAAAGGGTATAGGATGGTTTAAAATAAATTCCTGACATGAAATTGGTATGTTGTAGTTACTTGTGTAATTCCAAGGAAATTTGTGTTATGTGGGCATGTTATGTGTTTTTATTATGCCTTGTGAATAGAGTGTGCTATTGACTTATAATATGTATTAGCATGTTTGTGATGTATGATTGGATATAAGGATGTTGATTTATGCATATAGATACATCAACATTGTGATGAAATTAGTAATTATATGTTTGGATATAAATTGTCTTGGAATAAGTTCAAATGTGATTAATTTTGCTCATGTGACATTCCTTACATATGTGCATGACATTGATTAAGCAATAGTGCATTACATTGCAATTGCATGAAGAAAATNTTCAAATGTGATTAATTTTGCTCATGTGACATTCCTTACATATGTGCATGACATTGATTAAGCAATAGTGCATTACATTGCAATTGCATGAGGAAAATGCATCCATAGCCATGAATGTGGGTGTGTGTGTGCATGGTTGATATCAAACACCAAATAGGTGGATGATGGTGGGCTCGGGATAGTTGGATCGAAAATCCAACCAAGTCGCACGGTTGTGTGGATAAAGAATTGAGTCGGGGTTAGTAAGAAGGGTTAAACTATCCCTCGGGTGAGAGACTCGGTGATTTAGAGACGCACTTCGTTGGTATAAGAGCCCATAAAGTGTGTCGGTGTACGCAAAATCGTTGGCGAAAGTCTATAAATTTCATGTCAGTTGGGTGTCATTGGTGTAAGTCCATAAATACCCACCTTAAAAAAGACCCAGAGATTTTTACATAGTGATTGGGTGTGTAGCGCCAATTGTGGGGCTTGGAAAGCCGATTTTGTACCCATAGCATTACATGGGGATAAAGAGCTAGGGGAGGGCTTGGGTTGAGTTGCACAATTGAGTCTCATCTCATTTTATGGCATGACATTGCTAAGATTCCAACATTGAATGATATATTCTTGTTTGGGATGTTGTTGGTTGTAAAGTGTTGCATGAACATTCATATACACTTAGGTTGGGGAATAACCTTGGTAGAAAATATTCTACTGAGCGTGGCTCACCCTATACGAAAAAATGTTTCAGGTGCGGGATACATTCTGGCAGATGGCTCGCATTTGAAGCCTCAAAGATGAAGAAAAGTCAACTTGTGGCTTTTGTGGCACATTTTGTGTAATTTTTGTAAAATTATGTTGTGAGCATGTAATCTTAGAAATGGATTGTAATAGAACTTGTACATATCGAGTTTTATGTGATAAACATCATTGTATATGTTTTGAATGGATTAGAAATGAAAAATAGGTGAAATGAGCAAAAAACAAAAATGGGCAGAGAGTACCGGTACTGAGTACTGATACCACGAGGCCTAGTGAGTTAACAGTACCGGTACTGCGAGGTCCAATGGGCAATGCGTATTGGTACCCTTTCTAAATTTTTAAAATTTTTTAAAATTACTTTTTCAAGCTCTAGGGTTATGGGTTCTTGGGTTCTAAGATTATAAATAGACTATAATGGAGTACGACTAGTGGTATCTTGCTCCACGGTTGGATTAAATAATAAAATGAACACGAGTTCTACATGTGGGTTGAAATTCCCGATAAAGGGATGTTGTTAACGTGGAGTCGAGTTGTGCGACTATCACGAGTATTTTCGCAAATTGACGGATGATCAACGGTTAATAAATGACCCCTGATTTTAGGGGCGTCACAATAAGAGTAACCATAATAACAACCCAACTTACCTGATTGGAGATCCCAATATCTAAGTTCAAAAGGACAACTGAATTGTGTATTACTCATAGTATATTGAGGAGATTTTCAACTCCTTCCCATTCTTATGATAAGACAGTGCATATTTGTCACGATAACTAAGATAAGTTACGAATTTAATAACGTTTTGTGACTTGGAAAAGTCCAAGTAGGGGTATATCATAATACTCTCAATCAAAAATCACTTTTGTGAGTAAGGAGGGGCCGATTCTATGAGAATTATATAGGCTTTTTACTCTAAATTACTGATTAAATCAAATGGTGTTCGAGACCAAAATAAACACAAAGATGAGAATGAATTGTGTCCAAAGGAAAAACTGTGTGAATTTTATTGTATTGGTTTACACAAACAACTGAAGATCAAAGACATCAAGTCCACTGAATAGCCAAGTAAATGCAATAGTCTTTCACTAAGGAAAATTCAAGACCACTAGGCTACTTATCCTAATGCAATAACCTTTCAATTGTACTTAAATTAGCATCTACATTTATCATACATTAAATTGTCATTTATATGGGGGATTATTGGAAATAATGATTTTTAAATAAATATTTTGAGCAACTTAAGACTTAAATTAAAGTGGGACCCATAATTCGAATTAGTGGAACCAAGTTTAAATACATTCTCCTTCACGAGGAGATGAACATGGTATATTTATTTGTTTAAAACCATTAAAAATTGAATGATAAATTATTAAATTATTTTTAAAATAAAAGCTTTTTGGGAAAGTTATTTTGAAAAACTCTTTGTAACTTTTGGGAGAAATTAGAAAAGTGTAAATTAAAGATGACATGCAAGACTACTAGTTTAAAATTGGTCACTTTTATTTAAAGACACAAATCCAAATGGTTACGTGATTTCATAAAGCCATCTTAACATTTTTTGGTTAAAAGACATTATTACAAATAATCACAACTTTTCATATAAGTCACATTTGATATCTTTTGGTTAAAATACATTATTTCAAATGGTTATACATTTTCAGAAGGTCACCATACCCTTTGAACCAGAAGACACCATTACATATAGTTGTAGCCATTATGAAAAATTACTAGTGAGTCTATAAATAAGTGATGTATTACACTCCCAAATTATACCATTGAACAATTCTTATTTCTTATGAGAATTGCTCTCTCATTCTACTTCTCTCAATTATCCCAATTTTGAATTCTGTATTAAGTATTTCTTCTCTCTCCCTCTCTCTTTGTATATTGTTGCATTATTTTTTTTGTTCGATTCGAGTGCAAAACACATAGTTGTGTTCGTTGGACTCTTGGAGATTGAAATGTTGCATCCTTAATAACGAAATCCATTTTATCTTGAGAGGCAATTGCTTATTAACTTTAAACATTAAGAGAGAGCAAATCTGTGTTAATTAAACTATGATTATACATGAATCGAATTATTATTATTATTTCTAGATTTCTTGATTCGTATTACTAATAGGGGTAACCCGTGTCTGAAGGCACAATACAATGTGAATGATTTTGAGAGGAATGTTAGTGCATGTTGAATTAGTTTATTTGAGATCGTCGGATAAGCTTATTGAAATCTGCCTTATTTTATATTATAGACTGTGGTTCTGCGTCACTGTTAGTGTATTTCAGTTTTTGTTTTGAAAATTTTGTTTTTAATTAAATTATTTGCATATAACAGTATACTTAGTAGATTTGGATTTTACTACAGTAATTAGTTCCTAATCTAATTATATATATATTGGATAACAATTACTATAGAGATTGAAATATTGACAACTTATTAGGTTTATTTTAATTGGAAGATCATAAAATAATGATATTTACTTAATATACTCATTTTCATCGGCCCAAATATTTGATCTTCAAATTATGTTATTTTTGTCAATTTGATTCCTAATTTTTTAGTTGTGTTAATTTACTTTTTTATATATTTAATTTATATTACTTTGATCCAGTTGAATGCAAAATTTTAAATAGGTTAGCGGAGATGATCACATGACCACATTTGAGAGGCAATGTTTGGAAATATAAAGATTAAAAGGACACATATTGTAAATGTAAAAAGCCAAAATGACACATTATAAATTTGAGGGATTGAAAAGAGATCTCTTAAGTGTAGTTAAATAAGATACAAATGAAAACTTGCGCAAGTCAACTTAAACCACTATTTTTGTTTGAATTAAAGTGATACAAATTAAAAATTTAAAAGATTAAATTAGGATAATTAAAAGATTCAGGCCAAAGTAATACAAAATGCATATCTTTAAGAACTATTTCTCTATTTTACCCTTTTCATCAAATTACCATGAAGCACCACGTGATATGGAGCAGGTACCTATCGGATATTATGAGAAAAAAACTAGAAAGAGACATGAGAGAGAACAGTCGGACACCGCTGTCATTATTGTCATCCAATTTTGTCACCGAATGCGTACACACGCACACACAAAATAACAAAGACAAAACTCAGATCCTATCCTATGTTATACACCTCTCTCTCTCTCTCTCTTTCTCTGCCCGCGTATGTGTGTGTTAACAGAAGAATATTCTGACACTTTCTCCCTCCACACCCCATTCTCCCTTTCTCTGTTTTCTCCCATTGAAAGCCAAGTCTCTCAGAAAAGTGTGAACCTGAAGACATTTTCAAGAAAAAGTGTTCCTTAGAGCCACAGCAAAATCCATACCTCTGGTTCCTGAATTTACACTCTCTTTAATATCTCAATGATGATGCGTTCTATACGTAAAAATGTATATATAGTTTGTCCTTGTTTTTACAATATGTGATCTGGGTATTTGAGATTGGACCATTTCTGGGATTTCTTGCTGGTGATTGTGTTGGATCTTGGCGAAAATGGCGCTCTTTCGAAAATTTTTCTATCGTAAGCCGCCGGATGGACTTTTGGAGATCTCTGAAAGGGTTTTTGGTATGTTTCAGTTATTCAAATTTTTATGAATTTTGGTGCATTGTGACTTGAAGATTAATGGGTTTCGGTTTAATGTTTATGTCCCGAGTTTTGTGTTTGAACATCCTGCAATGGTGCATTTATAGGAAATTTGACATATAAAAAGTATACTTAATGGGGTGGAATTGATAAACATTATTAATACTTTGTTACCGTGTTGCTGACAAGTCATGGAAGTGAAATTTTAATTCAGGAACTTCACATTATGTCATGGAAGCACAAGGAGTGAAATGTGGAATAAAATGTCCTTTATTAGAGGTAGACAGTATTGTGAAAGACTGAATGGAGTGAATTATTTTATTTGCACAAACCATGTTCATGTCTTGTCACCAGACTTGTGAAATAGATCTTTTTGGCATATGTCGTTTCTTCTGGTTCAATTGCTTGCATCATATTTCTCTCTATGTGCAAGTGTGAATGCGCATGCCTTTTTATACAAGGGCATATTCATATAAGTAGTGATGGATTATGGATGCAAGGGAGGGGGAGGTGGCACACTGACTCTCTGACCCATTTAAGCTCACTAATGGGCTTCATGATTAAATGTATTTTCACCTCCCATGTAATACTTCACCCGTTTACCACATGGTCAAAATTTTATTCCATATTGTCACACCCTAGATATCCTACAGAACACTTGCCCAAGTTATTCCATGGACAAGTGGACTTGCACTCAAGTTTTTCTATTCTGAAAATGGCACCATCTCTTCAGTCTTTACAATCTTTGGAGTGGCCCATCCTAAGTTATTGTAATAATGAAGTAAGTGTAAATTTTTAATAGCCACAACGGCCCTAGTTTCTTTGAAATAACATAGCAATTGTGAATCCCGAAATGCCATCGCTATGTTTGGTTCATGTTGATCAAGGGTGTTGGGAGAGATTCACTGGGCGCAGACTTAGACTTGGACACCTATCTGCATAAAGTAGTTGCTCCAAGATTCTACAAATCGAATGTATTTTAATTCATGTAGTGGCCCTTGAACTGTCCTCAATCTCTACCTTAAAATTCCTCCTTTGTTTTCCCTTTGCCATATTAGCCTTTTTGGATTCCTTATAAACTGACAAAATTTAAAATTTAGTACTTGCACACAAGAGAGAGAGAGAGAGAGAGAATATTTACATCTAATTAAGATAATATATGATCCACCAAGCAATCGTCTTAAAAAGGGGGGTGGGGGGGGGGTTCCCTTTCAACATTTCGGAGTTATATACTATATATATTTTTTAACCTTGCGAGATTGAAAGATGCATTCTATTAATTGAGGTGACACACACTATTTTGGTACCTCTAAAAATTATTGGATTTTCTGTTGCATATATGCACGGAAGCATGTATGTTTTATGTTTGTGTGTCTATGCATGCATGTTTTTGGAAATGTGCCCTTCATTTCATTGGTTGTATAATTTTTGATCCATGCTTTCACTTGCAAGAGAAAAAGGGATACACACATGCACATATATATACAAACACACACATACATGTGCACACACTCATGCGTGTGTGACACACGCACACACATCTACATATTGTAATCTATGAAAGTTTACGTTGTGAAACCTGTACAAGTGAAAAATGGGTCTTTCTGTGAATGTGTAGTCTTCGATTGTTGCTTTACAACTGATGTTTTGGAAGATGATGATTACAAAGTGTACATGGGAGGCATAGTGCGTCAACTCCGTGAATACTTTCCAGATGCTTCATTCATGGTATTTAACTTTCGAGAGGGAGAGAATCAAAGCCAAATAGCTAATATATTATCCGAATACGATATGACTGTAATGGACTATCCTCGGCAGTATGAAAATTGCCCATTACTGCCAATGGAGATGATCCACCACTTTATGAGATCAAGTGAAAGTTGGCTTTCCCTGGGGCAGCGTAATGTGCTTTTAATGCATTGCGAGCGTGGTGGCTGGCCGGTCCTAGCTTACATGCTAGCCGCCCTCTTGATTTATAGGAAGCAGTACACTGGAGAGCAGAAAACTTTAGACATGATATACAAGCAAGCACCTCGCGAGCTTTTGCAATTGATGTCACCATTGAATCCATTACCTTCTCAATTAAGGTACCTACAATATGTCTCAAGAAGGAACGTGGGCTCAGAATGGCCACCACTCGACAGGGCGCTCACATTAGATTGCATAATTCTCAGAGCCATTCCTAGTATCGATGGAGAGGGGGGTTGTCGTCCAATATTTCGAATATATGGACAAGATCCTTTTATGGTTGCTGATCGAACTCCAAAGGTGCTGTTCTCGATGCCAAAGAGGAGCAAAACTGTTCGGCATTACAAGCAGGTGGTTCCTAGTCCATCTTGCTCTTGCTTATATTATTGTTTTCTTTTTCAAAGATATTCACTGTTGTGCCTGCTTGGATTACAAAACAATGTCTGGTTTTTCTATACATATGTATATTAAAAAAGTGACAACTATAAATGGTCATCATGTCGTAGGGGATAAGGACATTTTAGTCAATGCATGAGCATGAAATTTTTTGTCAAAAGCATGAATCACCAAATCGAATTCAATAACCAGATATAAAGTTAAGGTTGACCAAAGTTAAGATGTTCTACGTGGTTAAACTAGAGGCAAAGCCTAAAGGTACTTTATAATACAAAAAAACTCCAATTAGAAAAATCAATCCCCATTATGCTTTAGAATAAGTGATATTCAACAAATAAAACATGCAAGGGACAAAATACATACCATAAATAAAAATTCATAAACTCAAACTTTATCTTATGAAATGCAAGTGCACTATTTTTTGGAACAATCCAGTATGTAGCATTGTCAAAAGTGATGATGTGAGCTACTTGGCCATCTCCTTCCAAAATGGTACTTTCACCCTCAATCCCAATGATGTGTGATGAAACCATCACGAAAACCTTTAGTTGATAAATTCAAAGTCTAATTTTGAGAATGAAACTAAAAGTTTGTAATCATAATGGAGGTGAAGAAAAAAAATGAACTCGCAGTAAAGAAGGAAAATTTAAGAGTCCTTATCTTGGAAAAAAATAAAAGCCATAATACGCCCACTGGGGGAATTCTTGTACCAAGATTTATAATTGGGCTACCTACATATGCCACATACATGCACGCACACAAAGATGGGTTAACAAAACTATTTAATGCTTCAAAGCACGCGTTGTATTGAGAGAAACAAATGGCAATGTGAGAGGATTTTGTGGAAGTCATGGTTAAAATTAAATTCAACATACCACATGAACAAACTTATGGAGAAAAATATCTCCTTCAGATAATGGTTATAATTAAAAAAGAAAAAGAAAAGATAATGGTTATAATCCAAGATGACCACTAGCTTCCTTTTGAAGTCGTAAAATAAATAATATTAGAAGNCGCGTTGTATTGAGAGAAACAAATGGCAATGTGAGAGGATTTTGTGGAAGTCATGGTGGTTAAAATTAAATTCAACATACCACATGAACAAACTTATGGAGAAAAATATCTCCTTCAGATAATGGTTATAATTAAAAAAAAAAAAGAAAAGATAATGGTTATAATCCAAGATGACCACTAGCTTCCTTTTGAAGTCGTAAAATAAATAATATTAGAAATATGGACACAAAATTTACATCGTATGGATGATAACCGTCAAAACCAAAAGTTTCATATTATGCATTCGATATATATGAAAAGCTACATGTGAATTGTGATTTTACTTTTGTCAAACTTGAAAATCATAGTTAGGATGTAGCTGTATTGTCGAAAATCCCCCTTGCCAATTCATTCACAGACCCCTTACAGAATCCCATTATCACAAAACACATTAAAGCTTAACCTATTGTGTAAATATAAAATGGAAATTTAAACCTCAAAATTCCAAATTTTTTTATGAGCTTCAAGAAATCAAAATTAGAGCTTAGCATTCTTCAGCTCTCAACCATAAAATTGGCAATTTTAAAGTCAAAGAACAGATTGATACCTTTTGAGGCATGAGGATTAACGTCCAAGCCCAATCGCAGACTTTTGCATTAAAACCTAGTTGTCGTTGATCTTTGTGTTGCGATTCTCTTCTTGAAATAAAAAGTAGAGAGTGGTGAGGGCAGGAGGGAAAGGAAAGATGAGGTGGTGATCTAAAGGGGGAATGTCATCGAAAATTGTACATCCAATGTAAAAACCCCAAGTTAACGGAATTAAAGCACAAAGGAAGCAAGATATAGGGTTTATTGGATCTGAATTACATAAACATAATTTAAGAAAGTACCTAAAAGGTGCGTGCAATTTTTGCTCGAATTCAATATGTCATCATGAAAACAAATTGGAAGCTGTGGAGCTTTGGGCTTTTAATGCATGGGGTTTGGGCTGTGTGTGAGGGAGGATGAGATGGGTTGGAGAGAGAAGAGGCAGAGAGAGGTGAGAGATTGTGAAAGCGTGAGTGAGGAGAGAGAAGAGGAACAACGAGGGGTTGGAGATACGGGCAGCAAATTGAAATTTTAGGAGTGCTATGTCATCATTGGATCGAACTCGAGTTGATCTAAACCAATTGTTGTCGTTTATGGTGAGTACATTTTCAAAAATGTGCTGGAGATTGAGAGAGCGTTAGTGAGTAGAGAGAAGAGGCATAGAAAGGGACAAGAGATTGAGAGATATGGCCAGAAAACTGAAATTTTGGGTTGATCTAAACCAATTGTTGTGGTTTATGGTGAGTATATTTCAAAAAACTAGCTGTAGTATTATATGGAATATATGTTATTTATGTGCATTCGTGTACTAATAAGATTTGTTTTGGGTAAATTGTTTACTAACAAGATGCTCTTGCTTCATTCTTGCATACTCTGAAGTGGTGATGGTACTGGTGGATTTTTTTTGAGTGGCATATGAGGAATACCACTTTTTTTCTTGAAAAATTCCTCAGTGATCAAGTATCTTTGCTTTAATTATATGTTGATGATTGGAAGAAAAATTATGATGCCGTGATTCTGATGTGACATCATTCATGTCGCTTATTTTGTTGAAGTTTATAATGTTTGAGTCCACGTTTAGTTTGCACCGTTTATGAAGAAGTGCATCCCTATCATTTTGTGACTGTACCATAGTTTGCATGCAATAATGAAATTGCCTTAACATTCTCCTGTTTTTTTTCCATTTTTAGTGTGATGCTATTGGAACAACTTGTTTACCTTTTACTTTTGTGGAAGAACATATGAAGAGTGTTGCTATCTTATTCAAATATTTTTATATGATTTTACCTTGGAAGATATTTTAGCACTTCTTTTCTACGCGACTGTTGGAAAAAAGATCATAAGTACTGGGATATCTTCTCCAAGTTGGCTCTTATGTTGAGAAGATAGGTTTAAATTGCTTTCCTAGGGTTGAATGTCCAAAATATGGTTTTAAAATTGGAGAAGGAGTATGGAGCTTGGTATGGATGCATTCTTTTTTGATGGACGTGGCTCTGTCTCTATATTGAATGCCTGTGTCTCCAGCTCTTAGATTTATCTGATCCTGCAATCTGTGGTCATGGGATATGATAAAATATTGCTAAGTGCAAAATTTTCCTTGGTTGATATGGCGTAAAGTAGTTTGCTCATGTAACAATGATTGTGAAAGTGGTACCATTTCCATCCTGATATACCATGTCAACATCATTATGAGATGCTATGGGACTTACAGCCAAGCAAACATTTTGTATCTCTTTTTCTGTTGATGATCTGTGTCAGCTGTGTGTTTGACAAGATGACAACACATGCCAGATGGTATATATCCAAACAGGTGTTTCACGCTTTTCTGATGTTTCCGTATTCACATCGTGGATTTGGTTAATTTTATGAGTTAGCTTGAATATTCAAGATGAGATGCTATTTTTTGTCAAGCTTAACAATTGAATTTATGATTCTTTTTGTCTGTTAACTTCCATTTGTTCTTGCAGGCAGATTGTGAACTTGTTAAAATTGATGTCCATTGCCATATTCAAGGTGATGTGGTGCTCGAGTGCATTACCTTGGATAATGATCTGGAACGTGAAGAGATGATGTTTCGAGTAATGTTCAACACAGCCTTTATTAGATCAAATATTTTGATGCTTAATCGCGATGAGATTGATATACTTTGGAATTCTAAGGATCAATTTCCCAAGGACTTTCGAACAGAGGTATAAATCTTTCCTTGCTTCTTGACAAATGCATGGTGCTGAAATTTCTATTTGTTGATAGGCGAATTTGTGTGTTTTGCTTGGACGAAGGTTCTTTTTTCAGAGATGGACTCCACATCTTCCCTTGTCACGATTGATTTGCCTGGTATTGAGGATAAAGAAGGTCTTCCTGTAGAAGCATTTGCCAAAGTTCAGGAGATTTTTAGCAATGTGGATTGGCTTGATCCAAAGTCAGACATAGCTCTGAATATGCTCCAGCAAATCACAGCATCAAATATTCTCCAAGAGAAATTGGATAGTCCCCAGAGTGCCAAAAAATACATATTGGAGAGTGGTTCTCCTGAGAGTGCTAAAAAAGAAAAAATGGAGTGTGGCTCTGCCCAGAATGCCGGATTAGAAAAACTGGAGAGTGACTCTTCTCAATGTGTCCAAAATCAAAAATTGCTGAGTTGCTCTTCTGAGAATACTTCAAAAGAAGAATTGGAGGATGGCTCCCCCCAGAGTGCTGGGAAAGAGAAGTCAGAGAGTTGCTCTCTGCTGAGTGTTAAAAATGAAAACTCGGAGATTTGCCTTCCCGAAAGTGCTAGAAAAGAAAATTCAGAAATTGGTGCTCCTCAGAGTGCTAGAAAAGAAAACTTTGAGAGTGGATCCCCTCAGAATATTAGAAAAGAAAAACTTGAGGGTGGCACCCATCAGACTGCTGTAGATGGCCTTGAGTTTCGGGGAACAAGTTCTGAAAAAGTTGCGGAAACACCAAAATCCAAGTCAGCAGAAAACGATATCACAATTTCACGGCCCATAGATCCTAGGGAACAATCTATGCCCTCTTTGAAACCAACTGGAGACTCAAACGTGATGACAAAGAAGATTGAGTCCCAAGAACTCCTGGTTGCTCCTCAGAGGCATGCTCATTCTAAAATCATAGCCAAGAGAATTCCTCAAACTTCTCTATCAATTCCAGCTTCAAATTGCAGTTCCTTGCATGGTTCTCCAGTGCCTATCTCTAGGTACCATAGTGCACCATCTATCCTTGGCATTACAGCTCTATTGCACGATCATGCTGAATCTAAAAATAAAGAAAGCATCCACCTGGTGACAGGATCCCCACATTCTGCTGTTTCATCTCCTCTTCCGCGTGTTCATAGACCTGTGCAGCCAAGTGTTGTTTCCATTCCATCCCCACCCCAGCCACTGCCCTCAAAGCAGCTTTCTCTAGAGGCTGCAACGGTGACCAAAACTTCTTATGCAACCCCTCCCCCCCCTCCTCCACCAGTACCACTACCTCAACCATCACCAATGGAGCCACCACCAAAACCATCCAGTCATCATCTATCAGTTTTAGAACCATCACATTCTTTACTTAAACACAATGCTGCAGCATCACTGAAGGGTGAAGGACAGTCCTCATTGGTTCCTCCTCGTCCCCCACCTCCCGCCCTTTCTTTTCCAGGGGCATCTCCATTTCCCTTTGTCAAGAATTCATTTTCAACTCCCCCGCCCCCTGCTCCACCTCCTCTTTTCTTGGGAGCAGCTCCATCTCCCACTACTAGCAACTCATGTTCAACACCCCCTCCTCCCCCACCGCCACCCCCTGGGACTGCTTCTTCGAATACCTGTCCAATTACTTCTGTTCTTCCTATGAAAAACTCAGTTGTCCCAGGCCATCCCCAACCTCCACGTCCTCTACTCTCAGGGCCAGCCTCCGGTTCTACTGTTAGACCTTTAGCACCACCACCCCCACCTCCTCCAAGTTTTACTCCAAAGGATCCCGTGTCTAAGAATTCAATGCATATTCCACCTGTTCCACCTCCACCAGCTCCATTGGCCAATGGCTTATCAAAAGCTGCTGGTGGTTCTTCACAACCTCATTCTACAGGTAGTAACGGAAATATACCTCCCATCCCTGGACCACTTTTTTCTGCAAAGGGAAGACTGCAACCCCGCACCAGTCTCAGGAACCAGGCTCAACCCAAGAAGGCCTCCCTGAAACCATATCATTGGCTGAAGTTAACTAGGGCCATGCAAGGAAGCCTATGGGCTGAGGCACAAAAATCTGACGAAGCTTCCAAGTATAGACAATATTTCATAATATTCCTTCTTTTTTTTTCCTTCCTCTTTTNATATCATTGGCTGAAGTTAACTAGGGCCATGCAAGGAAGCCTATGGGCTGAGGCACACAAATCTGACGAAGCTTCCAAGTATAGACAATATTTCATAATATTCCTTCTTTTTTTTTCCTTCCTCTTTTCTTCTCTCTTTTTCTTCCTTTCCCAATAAACCATTGGCATTAGGACATTCAATTTCATTGATATTTTTTTCCCTGTTTCGTCTTTGCTAGGGCTCCTGACTTTGATATGTCTGAACTTGAGAGTCTTTTCTCTGCAACCGTTCCAAATTCAGATCATGGCACAGGCGGGAAATCAAATCGTCTTGCCTCAGGACCTAAATCTGATAAAGTCCATCTGGTAATTTGTGTTGAATTTTCTAAAGAGGGAGTATGATTGCATTTCTATTAATAGTATTGACATCATTGATTGCCTATCCTTTTTTAACTCATCAGTCATCACTAGAGCCATTCATGTCATCAACCAATTAAGCTATATGTGATGTTTTTGGCTGGTAGTATTCCTTTAAGGGGTTGTCCTTAGGTTTGGACCTGAGAGCCTTCCCCTTGGTATGTTAGTGTTTAAGTTGGTCTGTTGGACCTTAATGGGGTCAGATTTTAGCTTTTATTAAAAAATAAAATCAGACATGAAGATTAGCATTAAGAATCACTTCATTGCACTTTTATGTTAGGATGAGGCACGGATGCTTGCTTATATTTGTTTTCATATGGTTGAAGTTCTCTTTCTTTGACTTGAAGGAGTATGAGGCGACTTGAGTTCTGTTTGCTTCTAAGTTCTAATAACCCCCTAAGCATGGGTCAGCTTAGTAATTTTCTTAGTCCTATTCATTTTTCCTGTTTTAGTTAGTATGTTCTTGGCTTTTGTGATAAACTCTTTCTGAAACAAATAAATTTTCTTGTCATTCAGTATTCTGTAAGATTTGTGGCTTCTGATCTGTAGTGTTTATATGGAATAATTGTTAAGCATGAAATGTACGTTAGATTTGAGATCATCTGGGCATGGTGAAGTGACTGAATACAATTTTCAGTTTTTGGTACGGGGGCAGGTTTAAATGTGTAAATGTAGTGCATCTTCGTGATTAGTATTCTTGTTTCCACCCCCCAAGCATTTGAATGCCTCACACCCAATTCTATGTTCCTTTACTAGTGACAATGTGGAAGGGCTCATATTGTTTTTTAAATAGCCACAATGCTTTTTCACTTTCGGCAGAGTACTGTTAGGCCTCACTGAAAGTAATTACTAATACTTTAATCATCCATGAAAATCTCTAAAGAATCTGCGGAAACCTCGTGAGCAGCAAAAATAGAGAATCATAAAAAACTTCGGGCCTGTTTGGTTTGCGTTTCAAAAAATAGTATCCGAAAATAATTTTTGAGAAGAGTTTTAAGACAGTGNGTTTGCGTTTCAAAAAATAGTATTCGAAAATAGTTTTTGAGAATAGTTTTAAGAAAGTGGTTTTGATATTTTTTGAGATAAAAAACTTTTTTGGTTAGATGATTTCAAAAACAATTTTACAATACAGAAAATAGTAAAACTTGTTTGGACAGCCTAAATATATATTTGAACAGTAATTCAAACATTAATAAAAAAATATAAAAAAATTATTTTTATATTGACAATTTCATTATATATATATATATTTATACATATTTATATATATAAAGATAAATATATATATATATATATCTTATATATATAAACACATATATCTATATAATAAAACATGAGGGTGTTTGAATTTTATCTCAGTCATATTTTTCCTCTCAAAACCATTACCAATCATTTACCTTACACATCATCCTTTTGTCGGACTCAAACATTAAATCACATCACTTATTTCTATCACATGTTTAATCATTTATATATTTCCTCCTTAAAAATATCACATCACTCATTTCTATCATATATTTAATCATTTAATATTTGATTAATTTTTAGTTAATATATTTTGAAAAATTTAATATAGTAGGATCGATTTTTTTGACACTCGAATTTTATATTTTATCGTGCCTNAATCATTTAATATTTGATTAATTTTTAGTTAATATATTTTGAAAAATTTAATATAGTGGGATCGATTTTTTTGACACTCGAATTTTATATTTTATCGTGCCTTCAGGCACAGGCTATGACTATTATATATAATATGTATATATATTATATATATACCCATATCTGAACATCCAAAATTGTTCTCCTTATTTTCAAAATTTTCAAAGAAAACTCTAAAAACAAGCTACACTTGTTTTCTGTTTCTTGGACTCAAATCTCATTTTTTCCCAAAATTTATAGAACAAAAATGTTAAACAAACAGATTTTGGGTATTTTTGAAATTTTAAGAACAAAAAACTGTTTCCGGATCACAAACCAAACATGACCTTCTTTTTCTATTCCTCAAAGAATACCTTTTCATTTTCATTTTCATTTTGCCTTCCATTCCCCTCAAACCCAAGGCCCCGCCAAAGGCATAAAAGATGGCACCACCCAATCATTCATTAGTGTGCTCCTCAAACATGTCCTTTTCCGGCAACACAACACTTCCTGGTGGATAGTGGCATCATCTAGAATGTTTCAAATGGGGATAAAAGAAGTGAACACAGGTCACCTGCCACTGAACAGTGCAGTAACAAATGGTTTACTGTCTCCCTCGCCTTTGTTCACATACAACACTGGTTCAAATGATCTTGTTTGTAGGAGTCATATCGTCAAATCTAGGAACCACGGATATGGATAAGGGATATGGGTACAATACGATATGGACATGGTGATACCGCAAAACCTAAAAAAATCGGATATGGATACGGCTACAAAAAATAGAAAAAGTATTTTTACTATGAACTATCTTTAATTTTTAGTAAATTCTTTAATAGCAATTAAAAAAACTAGGAAATTTTGCTTTAAAATAAGCATAGATCGTCTCATCATAGTATACAAGAGATAAGTTATAATTAACATCTATGTCCTTTGGATATGTGGTAGAATATAATACTTAAAAACCCAACCTATCTTCAAAGTCAAATGAATTTTTCTTTATGTGTATCATTGTATTCAATTTTAAAAGGAGATAATAAAGATTAGAAGTTAAAGTTTATACATATTGCTATGCATACCCATGTCCATATACGAAACATATTTGTCTTGAATACCCATATCGTTATTCATCCATAAACAAACAAATGATTTATTAATTATTGGATACGTGTAATAAGTATCCAATATATATTCTCAAGTATCTGACGAGTATCTTATCCAGTACGTCAACTTATACGAAGTATCTGTGCTTCATAGTTGTCAATGATTAAAATGTTGTTCAATGCTGCCGACAGCACAAAAAAGGCCACCTTGGGAGAAGGCTTGAAAGAGAAAGAAAAAGAAGAGTAACTTCTTGACAATTTGATTAAAAGACTTCACCTTAAAGAGTTCCATGCCTCATGGCTGCCAAAATATCTTCCCTCTCCTCTAAAAACTGCACCCCATGTACAAATTACAATCCGCTGACCTCAACTTCCCTATCTTGAAACACCATGAGACAAGGTTGCACATCAGTCCATTATTTGTCACTTTTGTGTTGCATACTATCTGCTATCATGACATCCTTCATCACCAAGATCCAAATAGATCTACGTCTCTCAAAAGAGCGGCACCACACCAAGGTTCAACCAGATCCTTCTAGGTCTGGATGTCTCTATTGCTTATAGACTTGTTTGTGGTAGCTGGTAGGGTCACTGTATATCCCCAAGTTCGGTCAGAGCTCTTAGGTTTCTTTTTGTGTGTATAATTCAGGCATGAAGTAAGATGTATTGCCTGTGGCTATTTTCAATTGGTACTGATATGTAACCTTCATATTGGATTTCTATATAGCTGTACAGCTTGATATTTCTTTTGTCTGGAAGAACTTTTATTCTCCATTTAATCTAGGGAATCGAGATACACTCATTTGTTCATAGTCTGGTCCTTTTTATAGTTTGGCCTTTCTTTCAAAGTCTGGTTATCATCATTGTAGAATATCTACTATTCTTTTTCATCTCATAGATCTCATACTAATCCTTGCAGGTTGACCTTAGGAGGGCATACAATTGTGAAATCATGCTCTCCAAAGTTAAGATTCCTTTGTCTGATTTGATGGTAAGATATTGTTTTTGCTTATTTTTTATTGCTCATCATATCTTGCATCTGAATGCTTCTTAACTCATGCATTACCAGACATGTTCTATTCACATGTATTGCATGCACTAGCTCCATTTGCTTTTTAGTGTCTGAAAAATGCATGCACGGAGCTAGTTATATAGTAATAGTGCACTTGTCAGGGGATGCACTGTATTCTCACTGGTGTTTTTTTTTATGAATCATGATGTAACTTTGATCTTTGAATTTTAGCAATACTTGTGCTTTGTTTGTGTTTTAAATTTCTTTTGACATATTGTGTATTTTCTTGAGATTTTGGAATTTAATTTATACATATATTAATGTATTGGTGTAGTTTGACATATGCTCATTGTACCTGCTGGGAAAAAAGAAATATGCTCATTGGAGAAACTAGATATACAAAACGTAGTCAAATGTAATGCACCTCCCCATTTTTCCATTCCAAATAAATTATCTTTATTTTAATTTATTGTTTAGTTTATTTAACCATGTGACACCATCTCAGAGGCTTAAAAATGGGACCCTAGTTCTTGGTTCCTGAATTGTGTGATTCCATGTACACTCCTGTACAACGTATAAAGTTTATTCTTTGTTCTCTTCATCATAAATACATTATTTTTATTTTTGATAGTTCATGTGGTTTTTGGCTTTGATGCCGTTAGTCATATTGTTTGAATAAGTAAATTACATCCACATCCCTTGAGGTTTTTCAAACTACAACTAGATCCCCTCACATATGGATAATAACAGTTAACTACTTATCAGTAAGGAATGTCCAATTGGTAATTGGGAAATAAGAAATAACAAGATTGCCCTGGTTTACATATTATTTTGTTGTCAAAACTCAACTAAGCTCTCTCCTCTCCATTAAAAAAAAGTCTTCAATCACACCTCTTTCATTCTCCCTCTATGAAACAAAAAACAATCAAATTCCATGCAACTAACTATTATCCCTCAACGCTCAAAATACAACCCATCATCACAACCTAGACAAACAAGAAAAGTGGGATGTGTGTGAGAGAGAAAAAGAGAAAGGTGGAGGTTTGGTAATTGGTAGTAATTATACGCACGTGCTATGTTGATGTATGTGTGTGTGAGTGACAAAGAGAGAGAGAAAGGTTCAAGAGTGGGGTCTGGATGCTGGTATGTTGAATGAGAAAAAGTTAATGGAGAAAGGTGAGGGATTATGATCTGTGTTGGTAGTGGTGGGGTTGGTGGTTGGGAACATTTATTTTAGGTGGGTGAAGGGTATCTATCCCGATTAGAAACAGAGAGTAGCTTGTTAATTTGGAGTTGGGTGGTCGGGAATCTAAGAATATATATTTTTTTGAATAGAACTGTGGAGACTTTTTAAATAGAATGTCATTAAGGAGTTGAGGCATTACAAAATCTGGTGCCTCGTCTTGCCATGGAGGATAATTTGTAAACACAGGCTCATGGGCAACTCTGTTTAGGGGTGTTAATTGATCCAAACTTTGTGAGCTTGTTTTTTTAAACGCATCTAAAAAATTGTTTAAGTTGGGCTTGTTTAGAACTCGAGTCAAGCAAGAACCCAAATCGAACTCGAATAGCTTAACTATTTTACATATAACGAGTCGTGCCTTTTAGACTCATTTTTCTAAATGAGCTAAAAAAATTGTTCAAACTCATCTCGTTTAGATTATGAGTCGAGCTCGAGCTGACTTTTATTTGAGTTGAGCCCGAGTTGCTTATCTCAATTAACACCCCTAACTCTGTTGGCTTTTTTCGTATAACTAAAGTCTGTAAATACTTTAGTTCTTGTAGTCCATACCTCAGTTTCAACATATTCACCCATCCTACGTCCAATTTCCTTCCCAATAGGTTGGTTCATGTTTTGACAAGGAAGGTTGTGTACTTCGTCCCAAAATGGGCATCAAGTGACTTGTAAATTTGTTGGCTAGAGTAGCTTCTTTCCATCATTGTTGTTTCGGGGGGGGGGGGGGGGGGGGG